AATCAATGACAATATTGCTTCGTCAAATTGTAAAACATTCGAAGTTTGGTGAAGAACTAAGTCTCAAGGTTCGTGGTCTATTCATCGGACATTTCAACTTGTCCATTTCCAAAAATGACACCGTTCAATAATATCTCTGCGACGTCGTTCGTTATACCTCTAATGCATTTACACCTTTGGAGGTGTACGCACGGTTGTTTTGAGCGATATGCAACGACACACCTCTGACTGGTGTAGAAATTCCTGCTGTTGTTGTCGCACACAGCCGAATGTCCAAGGTCCGTGCCGAGCTGCTCTGGAACATCCCGTTGAACACGATGCAGCGCGTGAGCGGAAGCGGCATCATGGCAGAATGGGCCCTTCTTCGCGACGAAGTCGTGTGGGGAAAGCGACGGGTGTCGAAGGTAGCAGGTGAGGATGAGCAAAAAACTCGATCACGTCTAATGAGGGCAGTCTCACATGAAAGCGGTTCTTTTCACACTGGAATGGTTTTTCTCACAACAACATGGACATGGCTGAAAACTACTCAAATGTACAGGTCTCCGACACTGGGAGAAATCCCAAAAGTCACGTTCCATGTAGAAGTCGCAAGTACCATGTCGCAAGTCTACTGTCACAGCAGTCCATCCGGCGTCCCGGAGTACGAGCGGTTGGAACTCGCGTCGATGAAAGACTCGGTCGACATCCCCACAAACACAGCTCCAGGTGCTACGTCGTCGGCGGCGATGGGATCGAACGGCCATCGTTCTGCCGCTACCATAGCATCTCACCACGACGTTCCCCATTGCGGGACTAAGAGCGGAAGCGGGCGAAGCGAGATAGGAAGGCGATTGCGAAGCACAAAGTGATACACTGCGCGCCACATGATTAGACCCGCGTGGATTTAGTTTTGTACAGTCTGACCTTTTATGATCTGTGACAAACAATTCAGGGCCCGTCACCAGGAGACATGCTTTGTGTTAGAAATAAATCATTTATTCACGTATGTTGTCTGTAATGCTCGATTTGCATTGTCATAAACATTATACTCGCGCCAGAAGAGTAGAACCACACCACAAATCACACAAAATGCTTGTTCAAATGTGCATTTTTATCACTCTAGTTGGTAGTTCTACCTCCTTTGGCTTCCACCACGGCCACACAACGTCGTGGCATGGACTCAATGAGCGCAGTGACGAAGTCTTGGCCGATCCCACGCTACTCGTCCAATATGGCCGTCTTGAGGTCAGCAACACATTGAAACTGCCGGCCGTTTCGATAGACACGTCGCGCAAGGAGGCCCCAATGGTACTCAATTGGATTCAAGTCAGGAGAAAGTGGGGGGTGGTCAAAAAGATTCACATTTTCATCATTCAAAAACTCTTTCGTGTATCTTGATGCATGAATCGAAGCGTTATCTTGCATAAACACGAATTCATCAGCATAATGGTAATGTGCAAATGGAAACAAGTACTTACTCAATGTTTCAACATATGCAGATGAATCCTAAGTACCAGAAAGAAAATCCAATTCAGACAAACCAGCAGATGAAAACGCACTCCAAACCATCACACCACCCCCACCGTTCCGACGCGCGAAAAACGTGTCCTCCTCCTTGCGCAAATCATGCCAGTAATGCTGAAGCCCATCTGGGCCATCGAGGTTAAACCTCTTCTCATCAGACCAAATATTATGGTCCCAGGCAGGTGGCTTCGCGAGGTGCATTTTTGCGTAATCCAGGCGCAATTTCTTGCGACGGTCTTTCAACGCTGGCATCGCCTTCCGCTTCTTGTAACGTAGGTTTGGGGCTCCCATGAGTCTCCTCTGGCATGTTCGAAGAGAGGCAGCCAAATTCAGGCTTGTCTTGAGGCTCCGGGCTGACAAGCCTGTCTTGGATGCCTCTCGGACGAGCAACCGGTACTCTGAACAAACGACAAGGACCGCCTTGCGGCCCTTAAATTTCTTCACGTATTGTTCTGGGTCCTTCAAAAACATCCTGACGGCCTTCGGGGATCTTGAAACATCGGTTGCGATAGCACGGATGCTCAATCCGTGCTTGTGGAGGGCGAAGACCATTCCTTGCTCCATCGGACTCAAGAGAGGTCCCAGCCCCATTTTATGTGGCTCAGAGGACAGCTGATGTAGCCTACATTGGTTTTGTTAAGTTTATGCATCGTCTGAGGTGATGATTTTACTTGCAGAGCAAAAATTCTCAAATGGGTCTATCCTAATGGTGCAGGATTTTAAAGCGCCTCATCAAGATTGGTCCATTCTGTATTCGAAAGGGCGGCAATTTGTTTGTCATTGTTATTGACCAATCAAACTAGTTAAATTGCGACTCTTGTAAAGTCTCAATTTTTGATTGATTTCACAGGATCTCAAAAATCTATGTGGGTCTAATTATGTAGCGCGCAGTGCAATGCACGAGGAGCTGGCACCAAAGCGATGGACAGGTTCATGGATCCTAGTTCCTTTGCGTTCACCAACCTTACAGCAATGGATAGAGAGGCCACGATTGAGAAAAGGCGACAAATTGCCGTGCACGAGGCCGCGCGACAGAAGGAGGATACAAAGGATGGGTTGAACCTCAGCGACGATTTCTTGATGGGAGGCTCGGACGACTTTCAAGCACGCCTCCAACGTCGCAAATATGAGCCGATGAAATGAATCAACGGGTCGCAGCAGCCAAGGTGAGTGCGCGCTAAACTCAAACACTCGTCTTGGCCTCACATGGGCCAATTTGTTGTCCTTCGACATCTCGAGTGGCGCTTGGCGGTGGGTGTTACTATACTAGGACGCGGAAGCCGCGCGCATGCAGATGTTCCTGGCGGACATGGGAATTCATTTAAGTCAAGAACAGGTTCAGATTGCCCCACGGCAATAATGCCTCCAAAGGGAGATCTATGTCGGGTCACGGGAGCTCCATCGTCCTTGCATCGACTCTTGACGAAATGTAAACACGAAACTATAAATAAAAATATAGCGAATATTTAATAAAAATACTTCCAATAATTAGTTATACCTTTAATAAAAGAGAATTATCTTTTGCGTCCACTTGCTGCCCTTTGAACACAGTGACAACGTCTTCACGGAATTCTTACAGCTCGACCCATACTTGTCGATTATCCGAGCGACATAGAAATGCATGGGCCGGCCAAGTACCGCTGAATTGTGGAGCAAGCTGTGTCATGGTTGCCTTGGATAAGAGAGATTTCGCAACTCGTGTTTTTCGCGTTGGCGGTCCAGGTCCCTGTCACAACTGGTTCCTGAACGATAAACCTCCTACAATTAGTTAATCTTCCCACACAATTGGATCTTTGTACGGGTAACTTTCCCATTCGAAATAATCCGTGGCTCGACGATGTCTCAAAGCGATAAGAGACGCAACTGGTCATACGAGGAGGACGTGGCCCTCCTGATCCAGGTCGCAGCCGACCAGCCCTTCGCTGCAACGAAGGGTCAGCTCGCGAAGTCGTGGCAACTGCTTGCTGAGACGCTCGTGCACAGCGACAAGTTCACCCGCGTGGTCGATTCACGCAAAGCCCAAAACCGATTTTTCGTTGCTGGTCGACGAGCACATGGAGTTCAACTCAGAGTCAGCGAAACTCTCTGGTGTGGGCGAGGAGCACCGCGAGAAACACATTCTGCTCGACGACATCGTGACCCTCTTGGAGGACCTGAAGCGCGGCCCCGACGGCAAGTCCACGCCCAGCACTGACGCCAAGTCCGCCAGCACAGCGAGCGACAAAGACCAGGCGGATCAAGGCGGGCTGATCATCCGAGAAATGGCAATGCAAACGATGAAACGCCGCGCCGACGTGACGACAGAGGGCGGCGAACAAAATAGAAGACCGCTGTCGAGGGTCGCCGCAGCAGTCTAGCTATGGCCATCGAGGTGGATTCCGAGCGAGACATGGCCATTCGCGAAAAATAGATTGACTTCAACAGGTGCAAATTCGATTTAGAATTGAAACAGCGTGAGCTAGACAGGGAGGAGCGCAAAGCAGAGCGAGAGCATCAAGCTGCACTTGCAAAAATTGAAAGCGAAAAAATGATCAACTTGATCAATGCAGCGCTCAGTAGCAGAAAGTAGATGGACTACCTGGGTTTGTGATAACATGAATTGCCTTCATTCATTTTGAATTGTGTTGTTGGATTGTTGTACAAACTCGAACTCAAAATTATTGTCCTCAGTCATTCGATTTGATTTAATCTACAAGTACTAAGTACTCTTCAAGAGTTGGCGGGACAAGTGCAAAGTACGTGGAGCTTTGATATCCACCGTTGTTGACTGTCCCGACGTTCGACAGCATGATATTTTGTTGCATTTTGTGCGTAATAAATCCCCAAAGTGACTTGAGACGGCCAAAGTTCCATTCGACGCCTTGACGGACGCGGCTCATTGCACAGTTGAACAACTCCTTGGACTCGTCCAAATTGTTTCCTTTGCAGCCAGAAATGATCCACTTTAATGTTGGGTAGGCGGGGTCACCGTAGATGTAATAGCCGTCAAAGATGTCCGAGTTGTTTTCGAAAAATTCCTGCAATTTACTGACGCGAAGCAGGGCAACATCGTGCCGACTGCCTTCCAATGGGCCAAAGAAATGAACACACAAACCGTCTGGGGTCGTGAGCCCCTGGAAGTTGAGACAATACTTGCGTTTATGGCCGGAGTAGATGCGCTTTTGTAGGTTGAGCCCTTCAGCGCCATTTGATGTGGCTCTAATACGGCATGATTCAATCTTCGTGCCGTCTGGAAAAGCCCACACCCTGTCCAACGGGGCACCCTTACTGTGGACAGCAGCAGCGTACTGGCCGATACGGGACCGAACAATCTTTGTGTTGCAGTAGATGACAGACTTCCATCGATCGTAGACAAACTGGACCATGTAGTTGAAAATGCGGCACAACTGCTCCCGAGAGCGGCCGAACGTAGCGATTAAGTCGTAGTATGAGATCGGGTAGCGCAGCCGTTTTAACAGGACACACATGGCCTCGACACCACAAACACGGTCGCGACAGCTCGTTATGACGACATTTGGAACCCCAAGTAGGCTGGTGAGCTTTACAACACCCCGAACGTCAAAGCGAAACGAGAGTAAAGCATCGGCATCGCGCATGTTGAGGTCGAAACGAATGTCCGGGATGATTGGGCGTTCAATTGGAATGCCCAAGCCAAGGGTTAACAGTTGGAGTGTTGTGCCAGGTTTGAACTTCTTTCGTTTGGCCCACCGGTACACGCGAAGAGCAAGCTGCTGCTCGTCCATGGTGATGAGCGTTTAAGCCACTGACCTTTATGAATGCTATTTATGGGAACGACGTTGCGAAACATACGAAGTTAAACTGTCCTTCCTCTTCCCGTACATTATAGACCGCGAACGCCAAAAACACGAGCTGCGAAATCTCTCTATTGTTGAAGGCGATTGAGCAAGCGTGTGAGTTCAAACACTCACGCTTGCTCAATCGACTTCAACTCTTCTTCAAACGTCGGGGGAAATTAGTAATAACTGTAGCTCCCCGAAAACTCAGTATGGGCGGGTCGTGGGTGGAATTCAGGCATAGTCATCGGCATTGTGATGGGTGGCGAAGGGGCAAGAGCGTTGGGGTCCTTTGGGGGAGGAGCTGTCTTGGGGTGGACTTTGATGGGGATGGCTACCCAGCATGGCTTTGGGTTGACGTGTTCCTTCAATCTACCGTCATGTGTAAGGTACACCATGTAACAGTTCTGCGATGCTGTTATCTGGACACATGTCAAAGATCTTCATTGACATTGAAGTCGACCATCAAACGTTGCAGGTGACCTCAAAACTGGTCGCCTGGGTTGCTAGCAACTCTACCCTCGAGTCGCCTTAACTTTCCATGGTCTTGTTGCAGAGCTAGATAGAAAAATCCTGCCAATTCATTCTTCATTTTACCTACTCCTTTCTCTGCCTGTATACACCACGTGAAAATGGGCGAGGAATGAACAGTTGCCACTTCTTAATGTCCATTTTGCGTACGCCATACATGTGTGGTGGCACCACAGGCGACAGAGGCGCCAGTCCACGAAGAGGGCGGGCGCCCGGGTGGAGTCGGTGGGGCCGCCATACATTCGGCGTATAAGTCTTCGCAAACCCACACTCGCTTGAGTGTCGAAACTAGCAGTTCACGCTCATTTGCATGGAACAGCATCAGCTCGTCACGATCCAAGATATCTGGAATTCTAACGTCGATGTTCGGGATGTCAAATCGTTCGTCCTTCGCGTTTGCTCTTGTACGTCGTTGTGAATGTACGAATCATGAACGAGGTTCTATCGATGTCTGTTCAGTATTAGAGTGATTTTGCTACAGGATATTTCCTGTAAAATTTTCCTGTGGGCGATATATCCGTTCCCACAGGGAAATTTCGTCCAGTAAATTTCCTGTAGAAAAATCTGACAGGGAAAACCTTTGCACACACTGACCA